GTGACCCCTGAGGAATAGATCCTCATATGACCTTAAAAGTAATAATATATTTCTCTATTTGGGCCAACTGTATGGCCTTAAACACCCAAGGGGAAAGTCTAACCAAAGATTAAAGTCATCAATATATTTCTTTAAGAACTCAAAGGGTTACACATCCAAGACATTAGACTTAAGTTCTTATGTTATTTAGACAATTATTTCTCATTGGTGATTTTGTTCCTAATAGGACAGTGCTACACAGGTGTAGGACTTTAAATCTTGATCTACAATACTGTAGCGCCCACCTGCAGCTGAGGGAAACAACTCACTATTCTAAAATGATGGCTAAATTTGTTTTCTCTCCCTATCTAGAGGCCATTTAAGAGGGAGCTGATTCTAGCGACTCCAACAGTTATCAAAGTGACTGTCAACAAATCCTGAGTTCATCAATCATCATTCCAGCCTTAACAGACAAAAGAAAAATGAGGAGAAACCTGTTAGATGGATGCTTTTGGGAGCCCTCATCAAGAAATTCCAAGGGACTCTAATTTGGACATTTTCTGGTTCCCTGCCTAAAAAAAATTGTAATACTAACTACTCTTGCCCTTACTCTTACCTTTACTTTTCCTTCACATCTCCCAGGCACCAAACGCCATTCTTTTCTCCCTATAATTAAGAGTTATGTAATTTGGGAGTCTTTTAGATAGACCCGCTGAACAGGGTACCCCAATTACCTCACCCTGCGTCCCTGTTCAGCATGGAAGAAGCCAAAGCGGTCTGCTTCCCAGTTCCCTATCGGCAATTTCATACCACTTATCATACCGCTTCAGAGGGTGGTATGACAAGAATAGGAGATAGAAATTGGCTAGGCAGCTAGGGTAAAAAGACCCCAAAGAAAAGTAGCCAGTTTCTTTCTTGGCTAAAAGTCAAAATGTCCTTGGGGCTTTTAGCAAAGTACTCTGTCCCAAAGGCCAAAAAAGTTTGTGAGCTCTTATCCCAAAAAGATTTTGGGGTTACCTCTTCAGATGGGGAATGTTACAATATCAATAGCCTCCTGATTATGTTATTTTGATGCTTGCTCCCTGTTTCATACAATTTCTTACAAATTACTACCATTGCTAAAATTACTACCAATCAGGTCATGGTCAGTTATCAAACTTTGGATTCTCCTGAGATAGATGAGTTGGCTCTTAAAGTTTGTGATGACACTTCTAGATGTTGGGGAACCCTGATGTTAAGGTCAGCTCCTTTCTCAGCAGGGGCTTCCTGCCTGACTTACCTGGCTTACCTGGAAAGTGCCTCCAAGCAAGGATGCCTGACCTTATTTGGAATATATCCTTTGGCATAGTTACCTGCAATTAAACTTCCCCCAGGTTTTTTCTATATGATAATTAGGCATTGCCCTATAGCCAGATGATAGGATCCCCCTACCACATGTAAATAAAGCATACGGCTGCTGCCTCCACACTATATTTTCCCTGACCCCCACTGAATAAACGGAGCTGTATCACTGAATCTGCCTCCCCGGAAGGGCTTTCTTCTGTCAGTGCTCACTGGCCATCCTGACCCCATTCGTCACGTCTGCTCCCTTTGTCCTCGTGGTCTGGTGGCCAACGACCCACGAGGGGAGGGAAAGACCCACAAAATACTTTACAGTATAAATAATTTTTTTGTGGTGATGACCCACAATTGTACAAAGCAATGTAAACCACATGTATATGTACATATAAAATGAATATTAAAAAGTGTACAGAAAAAGCGCATTACAAATTTTTGGTTTTGACAGTATCTATGGTTTAAATTTGTTGAGTATATAATCCCAGTTTTTACTTGAAGATTTAAAAAGATGAGTATCTTTTAAGATATTGTAAAGATAGTCCCTTATTAATAACTCTGTTCTTTTTCAAATTTAGCATTTTTAGTTTTTAAACTTTATAAACAGGAAAAATGTGGTAACAGTGCTTTTGGTTTTTGGTTTTTTAACTTTTTAAAAATCTATCAAAGATAATTAATCAATCATCCATATGTCTGAATAATATTATGAAGGAGTCATTTATCATAACCTGTTTTATGGAAATTAAAACAAAATGAAAGGCTTTTTGAAATGTAAGTTACTGATCAAGAATTAGATTAGCAATGTTAAACATCATAAATTACAAATGTAATTTGATATAGGCACATTTTAATATTAATTTTTTTATTAAAGGTAAATCTATAGTCTAATTGGGGGGGGCTCCTTCTTGTCCCCCTATGGACATCAGGAGTCATCTTTGAACCAAGCCAGTGAAGTCAGAATTAAGGCCAAGGCCCCATTTGAGGTTTGATAAATCTATATTTTTGGAGGCCACTTGAGAACAGGGACTGTCTCCCTGTTACGTGACCTTATTATTCCCATGAGGGGAAGTGATAGCAGAATGTGTCCTTAGGATGATGTCATCTGCCCCTCTGCCAGCTCACAGGGACTGGAGAAGACTGGGTTTTGTAGTGTGGCTACAAAGGACTCTGACTTATCTGTTTTTTTAGTTTTTTTGGCATTGTTTAGGCTCAAACATTAACACCCGGGCCTAGTCTGAGGCTCTGGTCATGGGCTGGGAAAGGCTCTTCTAACATCCAGTGTGTAACTGCTATGTCAGTTGGGAAAAGCACATTAGCCCATAGTCCATGCTAATAAACAAACACCAAAGCCTTTTGCCTGTTAACCCCCAGACTGAGGAATTTTATCTAAGATCACATTCAGGCACAGCAATCTGGGCCACTAGCAGTTACTGTAGGGAATGTGGGCAGTCTGGGCGGTGTGGTTCTGTTGCCCTAAGGCAGACCCCGGCTGCTGGAGCTCTGTGTCCTTAGTGCCACAGTCCAATGTTGCAGAGATCAGTAGAGGGCAACAGGTTAGGCAGTCCACAGACAAAGGACAGCTCTCCTGTCCTTCAGACAGATAACAAGACAGGATGGGACAACACTGGCCGGACTAGTCCTTTAGTACGCTATTTTAGACTCAAAGTATTTAGTCACTCACACAATTTAGCCAGGCATGTACTAAACCAAACCAAATCTCAATCTCTCATGAGAGACAAAACTAGAAAACTGAATTTAGAGGGAAGATTCCTCGAATTATCCCTCTCTTCCTATAAAATCTTATGATTACCTGCCTTTAAAGAACAGTAAAGCCTGCTCATTTAGGCAGCACATATACTAAAATTGGAATGACACAGAGATTAACCTGGCCCCTGAGCAAGGATGACATGCAAATTCATGAAGCTTTCCATGTTTTTTTTTTTTTAAAAGGGGAGCAGTAAAGGCTGAGCAGCCAGTGTTGTAAGATTACACATGGACCAAACATTTAAAGGGATTCTTTTCCCTATCTGTGTGCTTGTTTAAAAGCTGGCAACATCTCTTTCCATTGATACCTTAAAGGGGCAGGCAATGAAAATATCTATATGTTCAGAACACTTCTAAAAATTCTTTTATTCTGACTCCCAATGCTTTAAGCATTATGCCCAACTAGCACATGTAATCTTTTCGCTAACTTTGGGGCTTGTCCCGTAGTTACCCCCGCATCCTGGAGTGGGGCCCCTCAAGTGCTTACCTGAGTTCCATTCTTTGGTGTTTTGTGGTAGATTCCCTATGCTTCTGTCAGGTCCCTGTCAGGTCCCTGTTCTGGTGTCATGTGTAGCCACCCACTACCTCATAGCCCCCCATGCTTGACTGATGGCAAAAAACTGAGAGATTTAGCCATGAGGCCCTTGGCATTTGTCACTCAAGGGCACTTTCACTGTCCTCATGGGAGTTTTTATTGGAAGTTCAGTGTTTGCAGTTCATACCAAGTTTACATATGGTAAGTGCTTAAATGTGCAAAAAAGGGGGATTTTCCCATCATAACAGTGAGAAATCAACACAGCGCACCTAAGACCATGGAGACTGGCCCAGTGTAGACCTCCTTCGATGTGTATAGAAACCTAAAAGGGGGCCACACCTGCCCTGGCATTCCAAGGAGCACTTGTCTGGTTTTCCCAGCGTTCTGGAACCAAACTTCCGCCTCCTCAATGAAGGGGGAGAAGTCCAGAGACGTTTGTTAACTCTTAGTGAGGTAAGTGCTGTTGTCCTTAAAAGATGACAGGGGTGGGGGTGTGATACTGCAGTTAACCTGTAAGCCGTAAGCACATTTGCCACCAAGCCTGATGGCCTGAGTTCCATCTCTGGAACCCACAAAATGGAAGAAGAGGATTGACTCTCTTTTTTAGTATTTTATTATTTTAATTTTATGTGTATGAATGTAGTCTGCATGCATGTAAGTGCACCTGTGTCATGCAATGCCTGTGGAGGTCAGAAGAGGGTGTCGGATCCCCTGGAACTAGAGTTACAGATGGCTGTTAGCTGCCATGTGGGTGCTGGGAATCAAACCCAGATCCTCTTCAACAGCAGCCAGTGCTCTTAACCTCAGAGCCATGGCTCCACCCCTGAGAATTAACTCTTGAAAGTTGCAGAGGGCAGCCTTCTGCACCTGTGTCTCAACAGGACCCAGCTGGATACTTTCTCCTATGGTTGTTGATGAGGTCTGAGCCGCTTCCACTCTTGTCCTGTTACAAAGTGTGGAGTTGAATAACCCTGTGTTTAGCCTTTGGAGAAATCTAGTCCTTCTCCACTCTGGTACAGAAGAACCCTCCGGCCTGTATCAGGTGTTAGCCTGGACCAGGCTTCAGCCCTACCAGCCGCAGTGCATCCCAATGTGAGGGACCTGCAGGGAAGGGAGGGAGGGAGCCAGGAGGGACCAGTTCTAGGGGATCAGGGTGATATGGCTCCCAAGATTTAGGAGTCCAAAAAAAGGAAAGACCTCCCCTATGAAAGAGGCCTGGAAGGTGTAGATGTGCTCGTTTTTGTCGGGGTCAAAGAAGACGACCTCCCCACTGTCACGGTCCAGGTAGATGCCCACTTTGCTCAGAAGGATGGGGAGATTCTCCCGGACACGGCTGCTGGTGATAGGCTCGCATCTGGAGGCAAAGATCCTCAGAGCCCAGAGTTGGTCCTGACCATGCAGCCCAGGAGCCAACTCCGTGGCCACGCCCACCACAAACACCGGGTCCTTGGTCCCCTGGATTTCCACCTCCCAGACGTGGCGGCCAGAGGAGAGGCCCTGGGAGCCCCACACACAGTGGTAAGGGTAGAAGGGTCTGGGTTTTGACTGCTTATTCCCAGCGCTTCCACTGACAAAATTCAAAGACACTTTCTTTAGATCCTGGGACAGGGTGAGGTCTGGGTCAGCCGAGGCCACGTTCAGGGTCACAGGGGCTGTAGAGATATAAAGAGAGGGGCACCCTGGGGTCAAGTTATCCAGTGCCCAGCTTTTGAGCTTCCTTTGATGCAGCCGGAGGGAGACTTTCTCTTCCAAGTCCCAGCCCAGTCCCCAGGGAAGTCCTGTCCCTGCCTGTTTGCTCTGAGAAGGGGTTTCATGCAACCCAAGCTGGCCTGGAAGTCACTATGAAGCCAAGGATGACCTTGAACTTCTGATCCTTTAGGCTGCACATCCCAAGGGCTGGAACTGTAGATGAGGGCCACTAGGCCATGCTCCCCACATCAGCCCAATCTCCATTCTCAGTCCTTAAAGCTAATCCCTGATTTTACTAGGTACTGTTCTGTGGGTGCAGAGGGGAGCTCCCCATTGTAGTGGTGAGATCATTTCAGAAAGAGGCCCTGGTCTACGTGCCACCATGGATAATCAGACCTTGTCAGATGAGGACAGCTCTCACCCATTTTCCCTGCTCCCTGGCTCTCATACTGAAAACAAGAGTTGGCTGGAGGTCATGGTACATGCCTTTAACCCCAGTACTCTGGAGGCAGAGGCAGGCAGACCTTTGTGAGTTCAAGGTGAGCCTTGTTTACATAGTGAGTTCCAGGCCAGCTGGGGCTACAGGGGGACCCTGTCTCAAAAAAAAAAAAAAAAGGGTTGGGACTCCTATGAGGGGCCAAGTCTCAGCCTAATTTTCATTTTTTAAAAAAGGTTTATTTTTAAGTGTGTGTATGTATACTCACACACATGTGCGAGCAGGGTCCATCAGAGTTCACAAGATGGTGTCAGTCCCCTTGGAGCTGGAGTTACAGGTGGTTGTGAGCCACTGCACAATGGTGCTGGGAGTTGAACTAGGGTCCTCTGCAAAAGCAGTATGTGCCCTTAAGCACTGACCAGCTCTCCAGCCCTCAGGCTAATTTCCTACAGTGGAGTCCCTGGGACCAGTGAAATGACTCAGCAGCTAAGAGTGCTTACCCAGAGCCTGAGGACCTGAGTTCCATCCCCCAAACCCACCTGGATGGAATGAGAGAACCCACTCCTCCAAGTTGTCCTCTGACCTACACACACACACACACACACACACACACAGACACACACACACACACACACACACACACACACACAGTGTCAAAGTGGAGTCCTTCAAACTCAGAATGAAGCAGAAGTAAGAAAGACACAAAGAATACTCAGAACGTGCTGCCCCGCCCCCAGTGGGTTTGAGTGACAGTTTATCCAGGTTACCAGAATCCCCCTCAGTCCCCCTCAGAGGCTTGAGCAGAGCTGCCCCCGTCTCTGCTGCTAGGATGGGCTCATTCTGTCTCCTCACTGTGTCTCATTTCCATCTTGGCTACAGTTCTAATGCTCCCTTGCTGAGTGAGGGGTTTGGAGAGATGGTGGAAGGACTGTGGGGAAGGGCGAGTGCTCGGGTTCATAGGGGTGGGCTAGGGGTGTGACCCACACCAGGCTTACTCTTCTCTGACTCCAGGCCTGACTGAATTTCTACATTGATAAATGCTTAAAGGGAGGAAAAGAGGAGAGGGAACCTGAAGGAGGACAGTGGTAGAGCCTCCCCACTCCACTACATGGCACCAGCGTCAAAGCAGTAAGACAACCAGGGCCCGGCAGGAGCAACAACCACCCTCTGGGTTGTATTCTCTTGTTTTTTGAGGGTGTTCATTGGTAGGCATGGTGGCCCACACCTGTAATTCCAGGACTTGGGAAGCTGAGTCAGGAGAATTGCCATGAGTTAAAGGGCAGTCCAGGCTACACGAGACCCTGTCTCAAACACCAAACAAAAAAAGGTCAGGGAGATGGCTTAGTTGTGCAATCACGAGGACCTGAGCTTCCATCCCCAGCACCCACAATGCCGGGTGTGAAGCTGTCACACCTGTAACCCCAGAGCTGGGCAGGCAGATGGGTGGATGGCAGGAGCTCACTGAAAAGACAGTGGAGGAGAAGTGGTGAGCCCGAGGTTCAGTGAGAGACCCTGCCTCAAAAAGTAAGGTGTCAGACTATAGAGGAAGATGCCCAAAGTGGACCTCTGACCTCCATGCCTACACGTATACACACATATACCCATGAACATACATTACACATACACACACACACACACATACATACACAAAACAGAGAAAGATGAAGAGAGGGAGGGAGGGAGGGAAAGAGGGAGAGAGGGAGGAAGGGAGGAGCCACCATCCCCAGGAGAGCACTCACATCCCACACTCCCCTCAACCTGGGAGGTGCTGACTCATCATCACCCAGAGCTGTCAGTTGAGCCATGCACAGGCTCATGGCTCAAGGTCAGCTCCCTCCCCAGGAACCTCAGCCAAGAGACCCTGCTTTACCCCAAGAGACCCTGCTTTACCCCAAGAGACCCTGCTTTACCCCAAGAGCCCTGCTGAAGATCATCTTGGCCGCTGTCCCCCCAATGGAGGCCCCAGAGGAGGGGAAACAGAGTGGGGCTGGGCAGGGGGGACCCAGTTTGGTTGGTCCGTTGCCATTTGCAGCAGAAGGAGAGGAGGAGAGAGAGCTCAGTGGGACAGGAGGGGGAGGGGAAGCAGCAGGGGCCCCTGCACAGACTGGTCCACTGTCAGGAAATGGCACTTCCCAGGGAGGTGTAGTCTGGGAAGCAGAGGAGCTGGATGAGAAGCTGCCCCAACTCCACAGCTACTCATTTCCAGGACCTAAAGTCTGGAAGATTCCACAGCCCTCCTACCATCCCTCCTGTGGCTGGTCTCCAGCCCCTCCTTCTGGTCTTTTCTGCCTCCTGTCCATCTCCAGTGTGAGCTGAGAGCAGCCATTCACGCAGGGGTGCTGCACGTTAGGGAGCCCTTCCTGAGGTCTGGTCTCCACCTTTCCCTGCCCTGTCAGTACTGGGGGTGGACAGAACATAGTGACCTGCTATGGTGGTTTGAATGAAAATGTCCCCCATAGACTCCAAGTATTTGGATACTCTGTCCCCCAGATGGTGGCACTGTTTTGGGAGGTCTTAGAAGGTGTGGCTATCCTGGAGGAAGCACGTCACTGGGGGTGGGCTTAGAGAGTCTTAAGCCTTGCCAGATCTCCAGTCACTCTCTTGCTTCCTATGCCTGTGTGATGACGTGAAAGCTTAGCTTCTGCTGCTCCTGGTCCAGCCACCTCCAGCCACCAGCCTCCCTGCCATGACGGACTGTAATTCCCCTGGAACCATAAGCTCAAATAAACTCTTCCTTCTTTAAGTTGCTCAGGTCAGTGTTTCTGTCACAGCAACAGAAAAGTGACTAATACAGACCCCAAGTCCCCTCACTTCCCTGCAGACCTCAGGTCCTTTCACTTCCCTCAGGAACACAAATGTGCCAGGCCATATAGAAGAAAGACCACAAAGCACTTTTTCTCCTAAGCAGGCACCTTATGAATTGGAGAAAGAAAAACGTTGATACCCAGACACTACAAATTAGAAGCAAGCAGCAGGCCACTGTCCATAATGTTGATAAGAGAGCACAGGTGGAGCTCATCCCGCACCCACTGGGAAGTCTAGAAACCTCTCTGGAGTTTCCTTATTGGCCTATTTATGGAGGGACCTGTGGTGTTAAACCCTCCAAAGGGCACCAGCTACGAACTCAGGTACCCTCCTCTCAATTTTCTGTAAATCCTGGAGGGATGTATGTCCTGACCTGCCTGCTCCAGAAGACATGAGCTGCCTTCTGCCTTTTAGAGAAATGAGTTAGTTTTTTGGTTTCTTTTGAAACAGGATCTGGCTGACCTAGAACTCGCTATATACACAATGCTGGCCTCAAACCCGTGGCAATCCTTCCCTGGCACCATTCCTGGCTGAATAAATGAATTCTGATCCTGTATCACTCACCGAATAATCGCACAACCATAGGGACGTCCCTCTCCATCCCAGAGTACCAGGGGCTTCACTATGAGCTGGTGACAACACCTCTACCTTGAGGAGAGTTGTGGGGTTCTGACACTGGGTGTGGGTGCTCAGCACATTGGAGACCCTTAGGCAATAGCACTTCTGGTGTGACCACCAGGGGCAGCACCACAGCGGCCCTGGCAGGAGAGGAGGCATTCTAAAGAGACACTCTGTCCCTCCCTATGGCATCAACTATTGAAACAATGGGCCTCAAAGAATGACAATCCCCAGGAACCCCACACTGAGGGAAGGGAGAGGCTGGACCCTGGTGCAGCCAGAGGAAGAACTTGCCTCCCTGGTAGAGATCTCACAGGTTCTGACAGGTTATCAGAGTAGTGCAGGACAGAGAGCTGAGACAGCGATGGGTCAGCCTGGGCTTGGTCATGAAACCCTCTCATACTCTATTTAAAACTAGATCTCGCATCATAACTCCAGCAGGGATTAGGGGTCACTGCACCCCTTTGTTCTTGTGGGCACAGTGAATAAATCTCCATCCTCTGCTTTTGACATGACTTTTCTCTTTAATTGGTGTGTAGGGGGCTGGGGGCTGAGCCTAGCTTGGTGGAGCTTCCAGAGTCCAGGGTTTACCCTAAGGACTCTGGTCACTGAATAATCTCTGATGACATCATCACAGCTGTTATGGCAGGGACTGTCAGTCCTGTGCTCAGCATGGTTGGCCCAGTCCCTCTGCTTAGACTGGACTGAGCCGCTCCTCCTCAGACTTGTACAATGAAGAAGCAAACTTGTCAAATTCTGTTCAAGTTGACATTTATAAATTGAGGGGTGTCTAAGGTTATGATTACTTGGTTTTACAATCATAAAGCCTGTCCTACATCCCGTTCTTCACACACTGGACCTCCCTTACCCCAACTTTGCATGTCTCCCTGTCCCCACACAGCAGGAGGCAGAACAGGGACTCACCATTCTCCATGTCCTCTTCCTTCCTGCTGTCCAGGGGTCTGTTTTCATCTTCCTTCCCATCCGCACAGAAGTTTTCTAGAGGTAGAGAAGGAAGGAAAAGGAGAGAGTTCACAGACGTTAACTGAGGATCCAGCACCACATAGTGAGGCCCTGATTTCAGATGCTGGAGAAGTAGAGGCTGGAATTTCATGTTCTCAGGGGACCAAGAAGTGTCCAAACACGGAAAGCTGCTCTGGGCTGCCCCGCAGTCCCTCTCCTGTGCAGCTCCATCCAGAAGAAATGCAGTAGGAGCCACAGATGTGAACACCTACTTCTAAATTTTCATTTTGAGAGAGTCAAAGAAGAGCTGAACACGATGGCGTCAGGAAGCTGAGGCAGGAGGATGACAAGTTTTAGGCCAGTCCACACTGCACAGTAAGTTCCAGGTCAATAGGAACTATGAACTACACACAGGGACATTCGAAGAAGAAGAAGTAAAAGAAGGAGGATGGGAGGAGGAGGAGGAGAATGAGGAGAATGAAGAGGAGAATGAGGAGAAAGAGGAGAAAGAGGAGGGAGGGGGAGGAGGAAGAAAAGAAAAGGAAGGAAGTAGGACTAGATTTATTGTAGTTGTTTTTGTTCTTTGAGACATGGCCTCACTAAGGATCACTGACTCCCCTGGAGCTCACTATATAGACCAGGCTAGCCTCAAATTCATAGTGATCCACCTGCCATTTGAGGAAGAAGGAAAAGAAAACTGAGAGGTCAGTGGGACAGCAGGGACAGGGAGGCTAAGCAGCAGGAGCATCTGGAAAGCTAGGGTCCACTGTCAGGACCTGACACTTCCTAGGGGAGGTACAGTGTGGGAAGCAGAGGAGGTGGATGAGATGGATGCCTCTGTCCACCCATTTCTAACACTGAATCCCTGGAAGATTCCACACCCCTCCTCCCATCCCTCCTGTGGGTGGTCATTAGCCCCTCTCTCTGGACTTTTCCTGTCCATCTCCAATGTGAGCTGAGAGCAACCATTCATGCAGGGGTCCTGCATATTAGGGAGCCCTTCCTGAGGCCAGCACTTCACTGTCCCCTGCCCTATCAGTGCTGGGGATGGACCGAGCATGGTGACCTGCAGACCCCAGGTCCCCTCACTTCCCTGCAGGAAGACCAGTATGCAGGCAGGACGTCCACCTGAGGTGGGTGACTCAGCATTGTTTTCCCATTACAGGCACCCAAGTACTTGGGGAGAGAAAACATTTCTAGGTCAACACCCAGAGACTACAAATTAAAAGCAAGCAGGCCACTAACCATAACATTGGTAAGGGTCACAGGTGGAGGTCGTCCTCTACCCACTGGGAAGTCTAGAAACCTTTCTGGAGTTTCGTATTGGCCTATTTAGGATGGGACCTGAGATGTGAAAACCTCCAAGGACCAACAGTCATGAACTCTAGGACCCTCTTCTCAGTTTTCTGGAAGTCCTAGAGGGATCAACACCCTGACCTGCCTACTCTCAAATGCTGCCTTCTGCCTTTTGGATAAATGAATTGTTTTTTGTTTTCTTTTGAAACAGGGTCTCAAGTAGATACCCCTGGCTGGCCTTGAACTCACAGTGTACACCATGCTGACCATAAAGTTGTGGCAAATCTCTGGCCTCAACACCATGCCTGGCTGGATAACTCAGTTCTCATCCTCTATCATTCACCTACTCCTCACACTACCTGAGGGACATCCCTCTTCTCCCTGGAGTTCCAGGGCCCTCACTATGAGGTGACAACAACCCCTCCCTTGGACGACAGTTGTGGGGTTCTGGCACTGGGTGTGGCGCTCAGCACACAGGAGACCCTTAGGCAATGGCACTTGCGGTGTGACCACCAGGGGCAGCACCACGGCGGCCCTGGCAGGAGAGGAGACTGTTAGGTCCCCATAAGGCGGCGATGCTCCCAGGCCCCCAGAATGGCTGCTAAGGGGGTCTTCAACCAGAAGGAGGACAGCAAAACGTAGCATTCCTCAGAAACCAAGTGACTCAACACCCTCCTGCTTATCCCGAGACCACAGCCTCCTCATCCCAATCCAGTCACCCCCAGGAGGGAGCGTCATGGAGATTCCCAAGCCCTAACTGGCTCTAAACCCGGTCTGCTTTTTCTGCTACCTGCTGTTCTCTGCTCCCCGGGAGGCGGTCCCGCAGTTCCCACATAAGCTGCCGTCTCTGCCATGATAGTTTTCATACTTTGGGAGAACGTCTCTGTCCCCGTCCTTGGGGCTGGGTGAGCCGTTCCTCCTGGGTGCTCTTTATCCTGCCTTCACTCTATCTTAGGTGTCCTTTCCTTCCGTCCTCTATTCAAGGCCGTCTCCGCCCTCTAACCAGTCGTGGGTTCCCCTCACTTAAAACGAGACTCCACTGCCCCTCTTGCCCGTCTCCCTGAATCCCCCCCCAGGACTCAGGGCGTAGTCCGTGCTCGCTCCTTTTCTAATGACCCCCAACCCAGCTCTGCTGCCTCTGCTGCTTCCTTCCCCCCAAGTCTCTCCAGGTCCTCTCCAGGGAGGTCAGCCCCGCCAAAAACGAAGGCTTTGCTTCTCTCTCTCCTGCTGTGACTCTAACCGCCCTTTTGTCTGCTCTGTGCTGTGATCAACCTTCAGGTTTGTCCTCCATAGCTCTGGGAGACATAGGTAAGCAGTTAAACAACAACAAAAAAAACCCCTTGCTTTAACTCCAGAGGCTCCAGGTTCGATCCCCAGCACCTGAACCTCCGTGCTTTGTTCCTGCCCCTTACGATTTGATTCTTCTCCTTGTCTTCAGTTCATTCGGCAGCTTGTTGGCTTCTAAAGAAACTGTTCTAGGTTTTTCCACTCAGCACTACTTAGTTCCCGGTTTCCCGTCTCTAAGGAGCGGCCTTCCTCCACACTCTAACTCCGTTCTGTCTGTGGGACCTTCCCTGTCATCCCTGCCTTCACCGTCACCCCCATAAGAATTAATGTAAGCTCAATTTAATAAAGCTGTTTTCTATTAAGCTCACCTGGGAGCCTACAAGCCCCGGTGTGTCCACAGGTAATAATAATTTATTGTCTCAGCTTTTATGTCTAAATAAGACTACAGAGAACGCTCTTCTTCAATCAAACCACTGCCAAACCACTGCCAGCTTCCTGACTTCAGCCGTGCCTACTTACAGTAGACCATTATAACCAAATTTATTAATTACTATATTTTAGGTGCACCTAGTCTTTATGTAATTGTATCATATGTGTCATTGATAGTCATTTTCATGTGCTGTTTCAAATTTCATATAGCTATGCTATATATGTGTCTTTCATGTAATTATGTCATATGTGTCTATATGTATTGAGATCTAACATACTTCTGTCATATAAGTCTGTGAGAATTGCCTTCATATGTTATTTGTGTCGAGACAATTTAATTGCTATTATTTTGAGCCTTTAACTAGAAATCCTAGGCGATAAAATTTAACACTATGGGTAGTCTGCTTTAACTAAAATGTAAAATTATCTAAAAAAAGAAAGCATAAAATTGATAAATGACAAAAGTAATGAGAACTCTAAGAAAATACATGTGA